ATTATTATTATTTTTTATTGTTTATATTATAATAATTATTATTAATATTTATTTATTTATTTATTTATTTATTTATTATTATTTATTATTATCGTTATTATTATTATGCGCTCGATAATTAGAAAAATATAAGCTATGACACGATTAACAATGCAACGTACATCTCAGAGATAAATGTTCAATCAAATTACTGAATCGTATAAGCGTAATTAAAAATAATCATATCATAATCTTTGACTACATTAGCGTAATACTTTAAATTTTCCTTGACAAAGATACAACGCGACCCGTCCGATACTAAACATGAACATTGGAGAGCACTCTTCCGAAATATTCCTTCTTTAGATCTATGGTAAATCCTACAGAGTAAATATAATTAAGTCATATATTTAATCAGGTAGACTTTTCAGATCGATGCCCCCCGTCGAGATAACCGTACGATTATAATACACCCACCCCCTCCACCTTAGACATGATTCCATTCTAACAATCTAAAATTTAAACGCTCATAAGCATCATACATTAATTGTAATTATCATAAGACAGATGTACTTAATGCAGTAATAATTGTAATAGCAATAGTGGTTGTAGAATGGTAGTACTAGTAGTAATAGTCATAGTTGTTGTAGTATAGTAGAGTAGTATAGTATAGTTAATAGCAGTCGTAGTAAAGTAGTAGTAGTAGTAGTAATTAGTAATAGTAATTAGCAATAGTAAAAGTACTAGTAATGTTATGGTGACAGTAGTAGTAATAGTAATAGTAGTAGTAGTATAGTAGTAGAGTAGTGATAGTGATAGCAGCAGCAGCAGTAGTAGTAAGTAGTGGTAACAATGTAATAAGAATAGTAACAATGGTAGCACAATAGTAATAATAATATAGACGTAATAATAATAGTAACAATATTAGCCTTAAACACGCCTAATAATTAACTATTATAAATTCACAAGGTAAAAAATAAACCAGTTTATAAATAACTGGTAAAAAATTGGCCGAACAGAAGCCAGTCTGACGACCAAGAAGTTCTTATAATACAATTATTTTTATTTTTTTTTTTGTATTTTTTTTTTAGTAATAATCCATAATTTTTCATTTTATTCTTGCCCTCTTCCTTCTAGGCAGATGTTTGTTAAAACAACTGGAAGTAGAAGGGGACTAGACTCAGTAGGAAGTATTTGAAAACAAGAAATAGTAGAAAGAGAGGAACTGAAACAATTCGCGAAGATACTACTAGTGATATGCCGTGAAAAATAGCTGTGAGAAAAATGGATGCCTAAGAAAGACTGCATCTTGCTGTTTTAAAAGTTCAGAATACACATACATCATATTAAGACATCTATTTTATTTTACACTATTTCTGTAGTACTTTAAAGGTAAGTCAGCTTGTGAACGTCTTACTTATTTTAATTAATCACACGTTATTTTTGTATTTACCCAGTATAACAACTATTTAATAAATAGGAGAATGTGGAGGGATGGGTGTGTCACTCGCTAACCTTCTGCCGAAGACCATAGTATATAATATTACTTCTTTATCGTGTTACCAAATAGTAGTAGTAGTGTGTTTTTATTATTTCTTTTTTTTTTTTTTTTCATTTTACCAAATTTTCCGTCAGCACATAAAAGGAGATGAATAAGTACCAAACTTTGTGCTTGCCCCTGAGAAGATCCCGAATTAGATCTTATTCACCTCCAGGTATAATGCCACGGCAAGCAATACTAATTTATCATTCGTGCATGGATGATGTCTGTGCTTTTTTTTCCCCATCTTTTTAACACTCGCTCTTTTTACGTTTAATTTTACTTATTATTTCCATTCAATCTAATTTATTCTTAATATACTTTAATAATTTGCTTTCTTTCTCCTATCCCAGTGCCATACATTATATAACTCTTGCACCATGGGTATTATAATTTTTTTTTAATTCATTGTACTTTCTTATATATTAAAATTAAATCAAATAAAAAATACGTTTCCGCGAGCGATCAATCTAATAATTGATACTTTTAATATAATATAATCAAATATCTTTTTTCTATCTTTTTTTTATATAAATCTTTCATGAGATAAAATAAATATATATGGATAATATCAAAATACATTTATAATATAATACTATTACTGATTAACTGTGATGATATTCGTTTGACAGTATATAGTCGCGATCGCTCACGAAATAAACTAAATACAAGAGACATTCTTTGCACAGTGCTAATACCGCTAGATCGTTATAGCAAATGAGTCTGTATAAATTTACGATAATAAATAAATCTTTTTCGCTCAATCATCTATAAAAAAAATCTTATATATCCAAATTCATTATAATATTAAATGATCTCTGATATTGATCATCTAACAAATCAATGCAATTGAAGAAAAATGGAAATATGACATATATATATAAAATATACATAAATATACACATATATATATAAAATACATATGCATATAGATACGTATATATACAAATACAAATATATATAAATGTGTATATTTACTAAAAAAAAAAAAAGAATCTATATCAATATCTAAATTATTTAGTTAAAACCATCAATCAGTGATGAAGTCATTCCTAGATTAACTATTATCTTTTCATCGAACCTCAGAAAACTTTGATTATGTAACATGCTTGAAAAAAGACTACCCTTATTACAAGAGGCTCAAATTAATTAAATAGGCACTATTACATAGATTAACAACTAAGATAGTACTCCTCATATTGAAGAATAATAATAATAATGTTTTTTCCTAATATACAGTCGTTAAATTCTAAGAATTACCAATGAAATCTCGATATTACAGCACATAAAGAAAATGAATGTCTCGCAGTATAGTTATGATGTTTTAACCAATACATATACTGTTCCTCAAATATGAAATAAGAAATAACCCACGAGCAAGGCCAAGCCATTCAGCGCATTTCTCCGTCAAGGTTGAATTAAAACGGTCATGAGGTGGGCCACTCTTTGAAATCAAAGCCTTGCTGGCCAGGTTTAGGGGCGCTGGCGGCATACCCACCTTGGTTGCTTTCTCCTCCCGTATACGAACGTTGCTGAGGATAAGTGGTATCAGCATAATTACCGTATGCAGAATAGCCACTGTAATCCGGAGTTTTAGCCGAACTGCTACTAGTTCCAGGTGCACCTGAGCCGGTTGTTTGTCTTGAATACATATCCCCTGAAACATCCGTGCATCATATCAAATTATACGATTATCTGCTGTTGGTTACGTGCATCTAATGATCATATTTTAATTTCTTTACTATTTCATTGAAAGCGATGTCAAATACAAATTATTCTTATATATAATTCTATAATATATTATATAATATATGATATATTAATTTATTTGTCCTTTGTATAATATTAATATTATATTTAACATCGCTTTCTGTCAATTATCTATATATATATTTAGATTATATAAAATGTTTACACATAATATAAGACACAGAAAACTAAAATTAAGATATATTGGAAGTACACCTGCCTCTTGTGCATGCATATAATATTTCATAATTACAAGTATAATTGTTTTTTATGAGCTAATAATGATTTAATCTTTTTTCAATAACTTCTATGAAAACAAATATTGTCCTGCATTACAATAGGACTTAAATACCACGAACAACTATTTCTTACTATAGAAATGAAACTATTTCATACTACTTATAAACACTAAGAACAAAAAGTTTATTTTTATTAAAAATTATGGCTTCGTATTAATCTGAGAGAGCATTTGAAAATTGTTTCATTAATAAGCCCACAATGTAAGCCTATCTCTACAACTACAGCTTTTAAACAGAGTCTATATTTATTCTTTCAACAACATTACACTAATAATTGTGTATATATAATATATATACACGCTACTATAAAAATTTAATATTTATATAATAATGAAGCAGAAAGATTTATTCTTTAGTATTATATTAAGTATTAACTTCTTTTCAATTTCATATAATTATTAATTATTAATTTTTTCTTGCAGGACACATGCTTCTACTAGTGACAACTTATAAAAATAATGAAAAAAAAAAAGTATGTAAATTAATAAATATTAAAATATATTAAACTAAATTTTTACATTGATAGCAGGGCATAAGGAATTTTGAGAAAGTTTGGATACATTGTTAATAAATTTCTGTCTAGTAAATGATACAATATGATACTGAAAATTAGTTAACTACTTTGGTTTCTTTTTTTAGTTCATACTTTACATAAGAATTATATTGTACTTTTGGTACATTGATAATAATAATTAATGAATCGACCTACTACATTGAAAGACACATATTTGAATAAATAACACGTATCGCGTGGAACGGGATATAAAATATATGTAAATTCGACTAAATACTCAACATATGATTGACTATTCATAGCTTAAATATTTCAGAAGAAACAGAAGAATAAGAAAAAAGCTTACAACGAAAAATAAACAATTAGTTTAAAATAAAAAAAGGAAAAAAAATGAAAATATATATATATATATACATATATATATATATATATGGAACTAAAAATGAATGTGACTCACAAGGTAAAAATGTGGACGTTTATAGGACATAATAGAATTGGCACAAAGTTATGAGATTTACATATACAATTTTAGTAAGATTCAATCAGGTAACAATGGAATCAGCTGATGCCAAGGGTGGAAAGAGGAAAGAGTTTGTTTGACTGAGCTTGAAGACTCACCCTGCGGGCCAGAGGGGTTCGAGTTGGAGTTGGGCTGCGAGGAGTTGGGTTGAGGGGGCTGGGGTGGTGGCTGGGTCCCAGGAGGGGGCCCATTCTGTGGCATGTTCCAGGAGTTCCAAGAACCCCCGGGCCCGCCCCCCGCAGCCCCGCCAGTACCCGCCGTGGGCCCGTAGCCCCCTGAAGCGGCCGCCGCCGGCCCACCTGCGATCATCAACCACACAAAATATGTGTCACAGACCACCGTGTCACACCTCACCTTCTTACTTTTCAAATTACATGTAATTTATATCTTTTTTTTTGTTTCTTTTCTTATTGATATGTTTACTAACAAAATCTATCTCTACTTTTTATTATTATTATTATTATTATTTATTATTATTATTATTATTTATTATTATTATTATTATTATTATTATATATTTTCTAAATTTTTTTAAATGCTGAGATGCTTGATTCTCTTAAGATGCGTTTAAAAAAGTTATACCATTCAGAACGAAACTTTCATCTCGTTCAAGACAAATATTTTTTTCTAATTCTTGTAATATTACTTCAAATTTTTTTACGTTGCAAATTTTCGATTCTTTATCTATAACATATAAGAAAAGTTAATTATTGTTTTTCCAAGTCTTCATTTTTGTTATTTTAGAGACTAATTCCACACCTTTAAAAAGAAAGAACATAACACTATTATTTATTACAAAGTATATATCTAATCTATAAAACTGATAATGAAGGAAGACAAAGTTTACGAAAAGAAAAAAAGAAAAAAAAAATGTTTGTTAAAATATAACGTTGAAATAAGAAGAGAATCAAGCATAATTTTGTAGATAAGATTATGAGATTCAATATATCAAAAATTAAAATAATTTTAAACGATATTATGTCAATCCACACTTAGAAATTTACAAACAGTTATTTAAAACAAATAACTTAAATAATAAATAATTTAATAATGACATATAAAAATTTAATTCGAATATAAGATTTATGAATTTAATTTTATTGAGATTACATTTAATATAAATGAAATTACAATTAATATTAATACTTATTCAATCTATAACTTGTACGTGAAGATCATTAAGGTATAGGAATTAGGTTTGAATTAGGATACTTTAGGATAAAGGAAAAACATTTGCACCAGTTATTGATAAGAAAGAGACTATTATAAAGTAATAATGTTTATGTTTCTATAGATTTACTAATTTTAGAGGAAGAGATTAGATTTTTGGTATGAAAAATGAACTTGTATATTTTATTCTATAATTAGTTTTGTAAAGTCTGGATTAACATAACTTGTGACAATATTTTTAAGAATATAAAATCTTTTTTCTTTTTTTTTTTTTTTTCTTTTTTTTTTTTTTCACTTTTTTAAAATGGTATTTTAATCTCCAGGGGGCATTAAAAAATATTAAGGATTTTGTACCACTATTGCTGGTAGTTAACTCATTTTCTTATCTTTTTTTTTTTCTCATTAATTATCCTCTCCAAGCGGGATGGAAAAGGAGAGGACGGGATCGAAGTTATGCTAATTTTTATAATTATGATTTATTATACCTTTCCTTTTATAAAATTATGGAAATGAAATAAATGTTACTATACATTAAGAACTAACATAATTATCCAAGCATGTTAACACTTTGCCCATTGCTAACGTAATTGTATTTACTCGAGAATTTACTGTATATTTATCACAAAATAAAAATATTATTTAAAAAAAAAAAGACATGAATTAGAAATAAATTAAAAAATATAAATATGAAATTAATATATCTAACTATTATTTACAAACACACGTATATAATATAATGTAATATAATATAATAAAAATAAGAATAAAAATAAAAATATAATATAACATAAAAATTTAAAAGAAACTTCCTCTACAAAAAATTATATTTTACAAAAAAAAATAAAAAAAATGTATTTAACGTATTGTAAAAACCTTAAGATCGAAATAAGATCTCCCCATTCGGTCATACAGAGACTGACTTACTTTAAAGCGGAGAGATCTCTTCATTTGGTTGGCAAAGTATTGATATCTAATATCATCTCAATTAAAAGATGACTTCTTATAGTTTAATTATTTATAAATTGAATTGTATAGTAAAGTAACATTTATTTCACTTGTCATTTGTAATTAAAAAAATCTGAATTGACATATATTAATAATCAATAATTGATTTTAGTTTCATATTCAGAAATATTTATTTTTGAGTAGCAGGCAAGTTGAGTTTGTAAAACTATGTGAATATTAAAAATGATCATTAGTAATAACTATTTCTTATAAAAAGACTTTAAAAAATATTGACTCTCGAATAACGCAATTAATATGTTACACGTTGTATTAAATTGCGTTATATAAAATCGTATTATGTGATATCCTATTATATATGAATTTATTTTGTATTATATGAATAATACAAATAACATGCTTGGACGGCTATTGTCAGTTGTGTACCTTGTGCTTTTTCTATTAAGATTATAAAATGATTTTGTAAAAAACACAACAAAATTGAAGCAGTATCACAGTTTAATTGATTAAATTTTAATTTATTTAATAATATTTAAATAAATTAAAATATAAATCATTTGATTATAAAAAACTGATAATTTAATTCATTTTGTTTATATAACGCATTGCACGAGAGTCATCACATTAGAGAAAATAGTCGTCGCAATATCTTTAGCATGTTGTAGGAATTTGCATTATATGTTGCATTATGAAGTTTACTGTATCAAACAAATTCAACATACCTCTACGTTTATGACAATTATTTGAGTATTTGATAATATACCTTGAAACATAGCTTCTATCGTATGTAAACGCTTGTTACTGATTGAATAATAAGATAAAATACTATAATAATTAACCCTTTCGCTACAAGAATCTTATTCGCTATGACTGTTCCATTCAACAAATTATTGCACTAAAAGTGAATACATTGCACAAAAACAATTATCAACATTTTGTATAACAAAATATTAATAAAACTTTCCTTAAAAGATAATATTTGTGACTTTAGTCACATTGAATAATAGTAATAATAATAAACTTTAGTAATAATATGTTGTGTAATATTTCTCGAGACTGTAAAATCCAAAGAAAGAAAGTATATACAAGAGAATTAGGCCTCTTATAGAGAACAATTATATAGACTCTCATTATAACGAAAGGGTTAAATAAACCGTTATATATATTTATAACATCAATGATTATAGTCGCTCATTGTAGCGATAGGGTTAAACAAACCGTTATGTATATTTAGAAGTAGATCTTTTTTAAATAGGTAAATAATTCCAAAGTAAGGAATAAAGTTAAAAAAAGAAACAGATAAACGATTACTAAACACTTCATGAACTTACCGTAACTTCCATAGCCTTGAGTTGCAGCAGCAGGCTGAACATTATAACTGCTTCCCCATTGATGTGGTGGAGGAGGCGGTATCTGTTGTTGTTGAGGTGGTCCTGGTGGTGCACCCCATCCCTGAGTATTATACTGAGTGCTATATCCGGCATAACCTCCAGTTTGAGGACTTGTACCCCAACCTTGATATTGTTGCATCATATTTCCAGGAGGCCCCATAGGACCACCCATCATAGGTCCACCCATCTGACCATTTGGACCACCCATCGGTCCCATATTCCCAGCCATACCCATTGGTGGTCCACCTTGTTGAGGCGGACCCCACTGACCTTGATGACTATCATTCATCTTGCTTGAAGAATCTCGTGGTTCTGCTCGTTTAATCTCAACCTAGAAATAAGAAAAATAAATATATTAACAGTTCATAATATTTAGTATACATATATATATATATATATATATATATATATCTTTAATAATAATAATTGTAAAACAATTGAACAATTGAGCAATGCAGCCATGATTTTATACAAGACAAGATTAAAAAATAATGCTTATATTGCAGTTTATAAACTAATCGTAATCATAGTAATTAACTTTGAAGTGATGACTATTAACCTAATAATAAAAGTACAAGTAGAGTACAGGTATAAATTAGGAGCAAGCAATACAATTTGCACTTAATGTAATTGCGTAATATATACGTAAATATTGCAGCATAGCTGATATTGCTTTAAAGTTTTATACTTATAATAAATCTACTTTTTAAATTATACAACATTCTTGCCTGAGACTGCATAAATTGTGAATAGCTTATAACAACGCTTTATATATTTATTATACTATAATCTTTAAATATATAAATTATTAATAAATAAACTATTATATATAGTTTTTTTTAATACATACATTACAATCTACTTATATTTTGAAAGGACTAATATAATATATATATGAAGATACACTAATGATAATGTAAGTGATTAACATTAATACAATAGCTAAACAAAGATAATGAGAAAGCTTTAACATTAATGTAGGAGTATTACTCAAAATATTATTGAAATAATTTGTACTTAATCCTATATGAATTTTCCATCAAAACTTAAACAAAATTTCATATTTATCTATTTCTCCGACACATACATACAATATATAAGATAATAAGAATTTTATATTAATTTTAAAAATATATAGATATTACTTCGACAAGTTCTAATATTACAAAATCTATTTTATATACATTGCCAAATCATTTAATGATAATATATGATAAAAGTAAATTTGTGTGCTGAAAAACTAAATCTACTATTTGATTACACAACCATTTTAAATATGAAAATATTTTAAATATAACTAAATAATTGTGTTTATTAATGCATATTCCTTATTTCCTATGTAGTAACCTGTACTTTCTTATACTTCTTTGTTCTATAAGTTACTCTAATAAGATATATAATATACTAAACCTTTAATAATAATAAGCCGCATAATAATAACTTTTATTACTGTATATATTAATTTACAGAGCATGTTACATATGACCGCATTATACACTAACAATTTTTTTTTATCAATAGCCACCAGTCATAATTAATTTAATTATATTGAAGTGTGTCACATTTTTTAAATATTTTTTTCTTTTAATATTTACATATATTTGGTTGAGTTGATCAATACCTGTTTTCCATTCAAGCTGACAAAATGCTCTGCTACGCATCGGTCCACAGCATCTTCATCCTCAAAACTGAGAAAGCCAAATCCTGCCGTCCAAATGTGAGAGAATATCAAAAAATGGCCGATATATTTATGAAAAAAAATATTAGTCTTAAATACTTTCTATAATGTGCTATAATGTACAACACATATTACATGTAAATTATTACAAGCATCGTATACATTATGGTTGTTCTCCTATATTAAAATATTCAAATAAACAATTATTTAAAAAATCTTGATTAACTATTTCCTTTATATATATAAATATATATATTCTTACTTCACTATTAGCGCAAAGTAGTATGTAATTATAATGATTTATACACAAATAATTTTGATTTGTAACAGAAACACATGAATTTATGGTGCTATATGTGTAAAAACTTTTGTTAAATTTAAACATGCAAATATGCTCTAAAATTACAAGGCCAAGACTTACTTGTACTTAAGATCAAGATAAAAAAAACTTTTTTAACATACTTTTTGTTAATATTAAAGAAAAAATACAATGAGAAGTGCATTTCGCAGTTTTATGAAATGTATACTCTTGTATTAAAATTTCATGATGGCTGATTTAAAGAAGCTATGTTTTCATAATTAATATCAATATCTTTACAATTTTGAGAAATATTCATAGATGTAAAATTTTAAAAATATAATATGAAATTTTTAAGTATTAAAATAAAATAATAGAAAAATAGAGATGAATCTTAATAATATGAAAACTAAGTAATTTTCTATACCATACAATTTTTATGTATTTTGTTCATATAAATCAATGTAATTAAAAGTGTATGATAAAATAAATGATAATGCTATAACAGTATCTAATTGTAAGCCGAACTTATATATCTGCAATTTAATATTTTTACTAAAAAAAAAATGAAGCTACTCAATAATACAACTAACAAGTCAATCTCAGAATAACTTGTGAAAAATTTGTATATAATTGCTTCAACTTAATAAATACGTTTATTATTATATGTGCAATTAATATATTCTGCTTTATTAAAAATTATGTCAACTTCTTGAATGCAGCCACCAAAAATAATATCTTTAATAGTTAAAAAGATATATATATATGTTCAATTTTTTTTATGACGCGATAATTTTTATTTCTCTCTTTATTCACTATTTTATTTATTATTAGAAAAAATATTTAAACTATCAACCATATTAAAGTTACATATAATTGAGAGGTTGTATTACAATGATAGGTATATGCATAATGCAAATAATTTTAGTATTATGTTGAGGCAAACATAATAGTTCGGATGGTATTCATAAATACTATTACAGTTAATAAGTATAATTAGATGAATTATTATTTTAATAGGCAATATATGAAAAGGTGTTTATAGTAAAAACAAGATTTACAAAATATCTTACCAACAGCTTAGATAACTTAAGTTATATTTAACTTACAGTAGCACAGCCTGACAAAGCCTTAAGCTACGCTTACTAATCTCACGCTGAGTAAAATGTATGCTCAGCGTAGGTTAAATTAATTTAAAACATTATAATGTAATATAACATTTTTTAAAGATAAGATAATATAAGCTGGCATGGGCTTGCCACACTAAATGATAATATGTAACAATAATTATGACTATACGTTAAATAGTTTCTAGTTCCAATAATCTTAAAGTAATTAATAAGAAATATTATGTAAATTATATAAAAAATATTGAATTAGAAAATTTTAAACTAAAAGCTTTGGTTTAAAGATACATCATCCAGTTGTATCGAGAAGATGTATTATAATTAAATTTTGTTCTATTTTAAATATACTACCTATAAATTTATCAATGATAATAAAAGGTGTGCTGCATTCAAGTCAGAATTTTTGATCCAATGAAATTCATTTTGATTATTAAAAAGTTAAAAATTTAATATCATTTCAAAATATATGTTTTCTATAGTCATTAAGTGAAAGCATACAATTTATTTTAGACACTATAAATTTATTTGCAGATATTTACTTTATATTTCTCAAGAATTCTGACTGTTATTAAAAATATATAAATTATTCTTAATATGTTTTAATATATTCAAGCATTGGCTAATGCACTTTTCATAAAGTTTATGTCATCACATCACTCAACTATAGGTTAAATGGTAAAAATATAAAAAAGCATGAAAAATTATTTCTTATAGAGGTGACAAAATGATAGAAAAATGACATGATGAAAAACTTCTAAGAATCTGAACAAAAATATAAAAGAACTAACTTAATGAAAATCATGAAAACCAGTGCTTGTTTCAAAATAATAATATCTGATAATTATGAGTATACTAACCTCTTGATTTTTTTTTCTCTTGATCATACATTATGACAACTTCCATAACCTTGCCAAATCGAGTAAAAAAGGATCTTAAATCAGTTTCCGTCACATTACTTGGAAGCCCACCAAGAAATACTTTCGGAAAACCACCACTACGTTTGGGTTTTTGTAAGGTTCGTGGATTGCATGGTTTCGGATCAATCTATACCAATCACATATTTTATACAAAAATATTGTTTAAAGATAATAACTTATTTTTCCAATATGCATGTTTTAGCAATTCTTAACAAAATTACATATATAATTCTTTATAATATTGATATAAGAATTTTGAAATCACTCACTGTGCGCCCATCAAGCTGATGCGGCCCATTTTGAAGGACTAAAGGAACATTAGCAGGATCGCTAAATGTTACAAATCCAAATCCACGACTACGTCCAGATTCACTATTTTTCATGACAACGCAATCAATTACTTCGCCGTAACGACCGAAGTAACGTTGCAGGTTTTCTTGCGTTGTTTCCCAAGACAATCCTCCAACGAAAAGTTTACTAAACAAAAGATACAAACATTAAAAACTCTTGTCACATAAGTAATCAATATTCTAATAATAAGAAGTTATCATTAATTTGCTATCATTTATAAAATATTGTTTACGATGATAAAAGTCTGACTAAATAAATTATTTTAAAAAGATATAAGAATTAATATTACAATATTGTCCACTAAAGCAGGAATATATATAATTATAAACATAATATTTTACACTTAAGGACTTCAAAGTGGAACAATTTAAAGTTTATCTTTTAACTCGATGACTCCGTTCTAGAACCATTTTTCTACATAAATATAAATAATTTTCATTTGATAACGCAATGAGAACAACACATTGTAATAACTTAATTTATTCTATTAAGAAATTAATAACTAGAAATGAGTAACTGGTAATATAAGTAAAAATAATCTTTGATTGCAACACGTTAACCTAAGTGCATACTTTCTAGAAGAATAAAACAACTAGAAAAAACATAGAATTTATAACAAGGTGCAGAATTGTGTATGCATTTAAAATAGAAGGAGATACAAAATGGAGAAGAAATATTGCATATATAATGAAAATTGCAATCGTAAGCATAAAACAATGTTTAGTGAAGCATTATAAAAAACCATAATGTATATTAATTATAAAGTTATGTTATATAGATGCATACACCATAGATATATATATATATTTAAAAATATATATATGAGACGGAAAAAAAAAAATCAACGCGCGCATATATGCACATAAAGATTTACCGAAAGAGTGAATTTTGGTATGCTAGATGAAGCCGGTAAGACAAAATGAACGGCATATGTGCCGGCGTTGACGAAACGGCCTTGCTATATGATAACCATGGAACTTTCGTCTTTCGTTAGCTTATACCTCATGTTGCAAATAGAGAAAAAAGTTAAAGAGAAAACGAAGGTTTAGTCTGATCCCACAACGTATGATATTTAAACATTAAATTATACGAAATGTAAATCTAGTTAGAATATATACGAGGAGATTTATTTCCTCGATATTTATTGAGAAAAAGAGATAAGCATTCGAAAAAGCATCAAAAGAATCAGCCGCGATGCGGAAATGGAGTTCTCACGCAATAAACCCTATGGTCACGGTACGCGGCTTTTTGATAATGAAACTACATTTAATAATATATATTTGACTTCAATCTCACCCCTTCTCGTCATCGTCCATTTCGGTCTTCACTCTCATAATATTTCACTTAAAACTACTATTAAAATGATGTTAGTTTTAGGGCGCGAATAGGAATATGGCACGATGCTTAACGCGTACGAGGGTAATGGCTCCCCACAATGTCGAGAACAGAATGTAAACGTAACGAAGCGACGCGCGTCACTTCCGTCACAACACTAGTCAAGTCAGCAGCGCTGTAGTCATCGTTCTCAGGACCGAATCAATTATTTCCGGTGCCCCTTTAACGATGTCTCATTACGTTCCTATTAACATTTTTTTTCATCAACATTATAATCTATAACGTGACTTATTTATCATTATTTTTATAACCATATGATTATTAGTTACTTGTTAATATATTTTATATTTTTTAATCATTTTAATTGCTACAAAGTCAAACCAATATTGTAATTCCTTAATCTTTAATTACTTATATTACAGTACTGATAAAATTGCGATTATTTATCGAATCGATAATCAAATCGTAAGTAAAATTTTACATTAAGTTTTTTAGATTTTATTAATGATGCACAATATATATTATATATATTTGTAAAGTATTAAAATGAATACCGTTAATTGAAAAATAAATACGTTATTTGTACGACGTAGTTGTTCTGGGTTCAACGATCTATCGTCCATTAACTGATTCCCGCCATTTTGAGAAAAGTCCCGCGATAATTTGAATGTAAGATACATTAAAGACAATAAATAAGGTCAATAATTTTATTTTTGTTTATCTTTAAAAAAAGTTGAATTGTATATAT